CATGTCTCCTCAGGCAAGGGAAACAAAAGAAAAACAAACAAATGGGACTACATCAGACTAAAGAGCTTCTCCACAGCAAAAGAAACCATCAACAAAATGAAAAGACAATGTAACAACTGAGAGTACATATTTGTAAATCATATGTCCAATGAGGGGTTGATATGTAAAATATATAAAGAACTCATACAACTCAACAATAAAAAACCAAATAACCCAATTAAAAACTGGGCAGGGGGGCCTGCCCAAAGGCACAGCAGTTAAGTTTGCATGTTTCACTTTGGCAGCCTGGGGTTCACCGGTTTGCATCCCGGGTGTGGATTTACACACCGCTTGTCAAGCCATGCTGTGGCAGGCGTCCCACATATAAAGTAGAGGAAGATGGGCACAGATGCCAGCTCAGGGCCAGTCTTCCTCAGCAAAAAGAGGATTGGCAGCAGATGTTAGCTCAGAGCTAATCTTACTCAAAAACAAACAAACAAACAAACAAAACAAAGCAAAACAAAACCAAAAAAACGGGCAGAGGATCGGAACAGACATTTTTCCAAGGAAGATATACAGATGGTCAACAGGCACAGGGAAAAATGTTCAAAGTATATCACTAATTATTAGGGAAATGCAAATCACAAGTACAGTGAGATATCACCTCACACTCATCAGAACAGCTATTATTAAAAAGACAAGAAATAACAAGTGTCGGAGAGGATGTGGAGAAAAGGGAAGCCTTGTACGTTGCTGATGGAAATGTAAACTGGGGCAGCCAATATGGAAAAGAGTACACAGATTCCTCAAAAAATTAAGAATAGAACTACCACACAATCCAGCTATACTACTTCTGGGTATTTATCCAAAGAACATGAAAACATTAATTGAAAAAGATATATGCACCCCTGTATTCATTGCAGCATTATTTACAATAGTCAAGACTTGAAAACAACTTGATAGATGAATAAAGAAGATGTGGTATATATACAATGGAATACTACTCAGCTATAAAAAAAGATGAAATCTTGCCATTTGCGACAACATGGATGGACCTTGAGGGTGTTACGCTAAGCGAAATAAGTCAGATGGAGAAAGCCAAATACTGTATGATCTCACTCATATGTGGAAGATAAAGTAACAACAACAAACAAACACATAGACACAGAGAACAGATTGTTGGTTACCAGAGGGTATGAGGGGTGGGGGAGGGCAAAAGGGGTAAAAGGGCACATGTTTATGGTGACAGATGGCAATTTGACTTTAGGTGGTGAACACGATGTAGTCTTCACAGAAATCGAAATATAATGATGATGTACCTCTGAAATTTATATAATGTTATAAACCAATGTTAACAAAAATAAAATAAAAAATAACAAACAAACAAAAACTTATGGGATGTACTAAGACAAAACTAAGACGGAAGTTCTGTTTTGGAAAACACCTACATTAAAGAAAGAACAAAAATCTCAAATCAACAACCTAACTTCACACCTCAAAGAACTAGAAAAAGAAGAACAAACTAAACGCAAAGTTAGCAGGAGAGAATAATAAAGATCAGAGCAAAAATAAATGAAACAGAGAGTAGAAAAACAATGGAAAGAAATCAACAAAACTAAGAGTTGGCTTTTTGAAAAGACCAATAAAATTGACAAATCCTTAGACTAACTAAGAAAAAAAGAGAGAAGACAATAAAAAAATCAGAAATGGAAGAGGAGACATCACAACTGATGTCGCAGAAATAAAAAGGATCATAAGAGACTACTATTGACAATTATATGTTAACAAATTGGATAACCTAAAAGAAATGGATACATTTCTAAAAACATACAACCTACCAAGACTGAATCATGAAGAAATGAAAAGATCTGAACAGACCTATAATTAGTAAACAGATTGAATCAGTAATCAAAAAACTCCCAACAAAGAAAAGCCCAGGACTAAATGGCTTCCCTGGAGAATTCTAGCAAACATTTAAAGAAGAGTTAACACCAGTCTTTCTCAATGCTTCCCAAAAATTAAGGAGAAGAGAACGCTTTGAAATTCATTTATGAGTCCAGCATTACCCTGATACCAAAATGAGACAAGTATACTAAAATAAAACTACAGACCAATATTCCTGATGAATATTGATGTAAAAATCCTCATCAAAATACTAGCAAACTGAATATAACAACACATTAAAAGGATTATACACCATGACCAAGTGAGATTTATCCCTGGAATGGAAGAAAATTTCAACATACAAAAATCAATCAAAGTAATATACCATATTAACAGAATGAGGGAAAAAACCCACGTGATCACCTCAATTGATGCAGAAAAAACATTTGAAAAAATTCAATGCCCTTTCATTCTACACAACAAATCAGGATTGGAAGGAAATTATCTCTACATAATAAAGGCCACATGTGAAAACCTCACAGGCAACATCATACTCAATGGTAAATAACTGAAAGCTTTCCCTCTGGGATCTGGAACAAGGCAAGGATGCCCACGTGCACCAGTACCAGGTGTCCTAGCCAGAGCAATTAGACAAGAAAAAGTAAATAAATAAAAGGCATTCAAATTGGAAAGGAAGAAGTAAAATTATCTCGGTTCACAGGTTATATGATCTTACATGTTGAAAACCCTAAACACTCCACCAAAAAACTGTTAGAAATAATAAACAAATACAGCAAATTTGCAGGATACAAAATTAACACTCAAAAAATCAGTTGCATTTTTATACACTAACAATGAACAATCTGAAAAGGAAATTAAGAAAACAATCTAATTTAAATAGCATCAAAAATAATAAAATACTTAGGAATAAACTTAACCAAGGAGACAAAAGACTCATACACTGAAAACTACAAAACATCGCTGAAAGAAATTTTAGAAGACACAAGTAAATGGAAAGACATCCCACATTTGTGGATTCGAAGAGTTAGTATTGTTAAAATATTAATACTACTCAAAGTGATCCACAGATTCAATGCAATCCCTATCAAAACTCCAACAGCATTTTTTGCAGAAATAGAAAAATCCATCCTAAAATTCATATGAAATCTCAAAGCACCTAAACAGCCAAAAATATCTTGAAAAGAAAGAAAAACAAAGCTGTAGGCCTTAACTTTCTAATTTCAAAACATCTTGCAAAGCTACAGTAATCTAAAAAATATGGTACTGGCATAAAGACAGAAAACAATGGAAGAGAATAGGGAACCCAGAAATGAACCCTCAGATATATGGTCAAATGATCTTCAACATGGATGTCAAGACATGACAATGAGGAAAGGACAGTATCTTCAGCAAATAGTGCTGGGAAAGAGGGATATCCACGCGCAAAAGAATGAGATTGGACCCTTACCTTACACCATATACAAAAACTAACTCAAATGGATAAAAGACTTAAATGTAAGACAAGAAATTATAAAACTCCCAGAAGAAAACATGTCATATATTTTGACGTATTTGGGAATGATTTCTTGATCTGATCCCAAAAGTACAGGCAACAAAAGTAAAAGACAAATGTGAATACATAAAAATTTAAAACTTCTGTGCAGCAAAAAAAAAAAAAAAGAAAGAAAGAAAGAAAGAAAGAAAGAAAGAAAGAAAATAAAAAGTCAATATACAGAATTGGAAGCAAATATTTGCAAATCATATATCTGATTAAGAGTTAATATCCAGAATGTATCAAGAACTCTTACAACTCTTGCAACTGAACCACCAAAAAAGGAAACAATCTGATTAAAAAACGGGCAAAGGACTTCAAGAGATATTTCTTCAAAGAAGATATACAACTGGGCAACAAGCATATGAAAAGATGCTCAACATTCCTAATCTAGGGAAGTACAAACATAAACCACATGAGAAATTGTTTCGCACACACTAGAATGGCCACTATCAAAAAAACAGAAAACAACAAGTGTTGGAGAGGATGTGGAGAAATTGGAGCCCTTGCACAGTGTTGGTGGGAACGCAAAATGGTGCAGTCACTGAGAAAAATAGTATGGAGCTTCCTCAAAAGACTGAAAATAGAATTACCACACGATCCAGCAATTCTACTTCTGGGCATACATGCAAAAAAACTGAAAACAGGATCTCTGAGATATTTGCATAGCCATGTTCATTGGAGTAGTACTCACAATAGTCAAGGAGTGGAAGCAACCTAGATGTCCATCGATGGATGAATATATAAAGAAAATGTGGCGTACACGCAAAATTAAATATTACTCAATCTTAAAAAAGAAGGAAATCCCGTCAAATTCCACAATGTGAATGAACATTGAACACATTATGCTACGACATCAGCCAGTCACAGAAAGACAAATGCTGCATGATCCCGCTTATGAGAGGTATCTAGGAGGCCGGCCCGGTGACGCAGTGGTTAAGTTCGCACGTTCTGCTTTGCTGGTTCAGATCCCAGGTGGGGACATGGCACCGCTTGTCAAGCCATGCTGTGGTAGGTGTCCCACATAGAAAGTAGAGGAAGATGGGCATGGATATGAGCTCAGGGCCAGTCTTCCTCAGCTAAAAGAGGAGGATTGGCAGCAGATGTTAGCTCAGGGCTAATCTTCCTCAAAAAAAAAAAAAAAAAAAAAGAGAGATATCTAACGCAGTCAAATCCATAGTGACAGGAAGTAGAATGGAGAGAGCCAGGGCTCGGGGAGAAGGGAACAGGGAATTATTTTTCAATGGCCATGGGGTTTCAGTTCTGGAAGATGAAAAAGTTCTGGAGATGGATGGTGATGATGGCTGCACAACAATGTGAATGTACTGAACGCCACTGAACTGTACCCTTAACAATGATTAAAACGGCACATTTTATGTGATGTATATTTTACCACACACACACACACACACACACAAATTTAAAAAAAGATATCCCTAAAGGAAAAAAAGAGAGCCCTGAATGTCACCCCCAGAGATGTTGATTCTATAAATCTGGGGCCCAGGAATCTGCAGTTTGAACATACAACAGAGGTGATTTTGATAGGGGTAAACAAGCAAATAGAGACACAGGGAGACAAACTCACAGACAGTCGGGGACCCTCCCAGGAAGCCAGCTGCCCAGGAGCTCTGGATGAGAGAGACGCTTCCTGCTGCTCTGCTGAGCTGCTGGGTTTCACTTCGTTGATAAACTGCGGTTGAATGCCTCCTGTGTGTAAGGTGCCATGCTAGACTCTGCGTGAGAAAGATAAAATGTGGCTTTAACCTCAGGGGAAGCGGTCAAACACAAAGGAAAATAGAACCGAATAGCTCAAAAGAACCCTTGGTAACTTCTGGCACTTCCACTCTTCATTTCCTCTTTTGGGCAGAGAGGCGAGGATGCCCAGCTCCCAGGGTTGTTCTGGAGACAAAGTGATAAGTGGTGTGAAAGCGTTTTTTGTTTTTGTAATCAATTATTCAGCGTTTACTTTTAGGGTGAGTGCTTGAATCTTGGCTCCATAAGGTGCCAGGGCAGAGGTTCTCAATTGTGAGTTCACATTAGTATTACCTGGGGAAGTTTTTTAAAAACATCCATGATGACCTTTCCCTTGCGAGACCCTCATTCAGTTGGTCTGGGGAGGGCCCTGAGCGTGGGCATTTTTTCCAAAGCTCTCAGGGTTTTCAACCGGCAGCTGGTGTTGAGAACCAGTGTGCTACGAAACACACAGGAAGGAAGGGTGAATTCAAACTTGTAGGATGGGAAAGGCTCATAGAGAAGGTCACGTTTGTGCTAGGCCTTCGAAGGGTATGTAATATTAGGGGAATAATATTTTTGGACCAGGTAATACGTACACAAGGTATAAAATTCAGAAGTCTGAAAGGATGTATCATGAAAGCCGTATCTTCCTTTCTCTCCCAGCTCTCTCCCCTGTTCTCCTCTCTGGAGCAAACAGTCTTAGCTATTCTTGTCTGCACTACCAGAGACCCTCTTTACAATGGCTATTAAGGCACTTGTCAGCCTGGGAAGGAGACAGGAGAAGAAAGGAACAGGCTTCATTTCCTGTGCTAGGACCTTTTGCCAGGCACAGAATGTCCTCCACACAGCTACAGCGAGCGTGACTGAGGAAGTTCATCGAACAAAAAAAAAGCAACTTGATTTCCAGGATGGGGCTTTTTTTTGGAAAGGAGGGTTGTTCTTTCTTTCTTTCTTCCTGTCACAGTTGAGTAGCTTGATTTTTTTAATTACGTTTTTTATTTTGAGATAATTGTAGATTCACATGTAGCTGTAAGAAATAATACAGAGATCCCCTGTACCTTTTGCCTGGGTGGTTTCATTTTCATTGTAGTGCTAATCAAGATGCTTATAAGATTGCTTTTCAAAACCGTACCAGGGAATTAAGAGCGAGCCTGCAGGGGAGGGGTGGGGCGTGGAGAGGAACAAAGTACTTTCCATCTTCCCTCATGGTTTCTGGGAAATCGAAACTGACACGCTCATGGGCTTACTTCCCGTGGTGACAGATGCTACCCTTCCTTTGTAACAGGCTCTTGAGCCCATGCTGGGGAGTCGTGGCCGCACCAGCGAGGGACACCACCTGGGCCAGAGGCTTTCTCTAGTGAGGCTGAACCAGCACTTTCCACCTGTGTTCAGGCTCCAGGTCAGAACAGGCAGGAGTGGTGGGTCTACTGCTTCCAAATCCCATCTTTCTGGTTTCCAGACTCATAGGAAGAGACAACACAGGCAGCAAGCCATTCCTGACTGTCTCAGGTGCCCAAGTTATCTCTGGTTTGTTACTGGCTTGCAAAAGAGTGCATCCCTCTGTTAAAGGAGTTTCACAAACAGATTACGCAATAACAGGGCAGCTGTGGTTCCTGGCCTGCCTCATCCCTTTTGAACTGCATTGACAGGAAGGAACCTCGGGTCAGAAAGATTAAAAGGGGTTTGATCTTCCCCCAATTCACCTTCCACTATTTACCTTAGTCCCACGTGGCAGGTGTTCTACTCATTGAAAATGCAAATTTTCAGGCTTGAGACTCTGTCAGTGTGAGACTTCTAGAGTTATGCGTCCCCTCCCTATGATGATTTTAGCCAAGCGTTTGGTTCTTATGCTAATGTCGTTTGTGTTAATACTTCTGGGTACAATCATACTTGGTATTTTATATAGTGCTTTTTGGTGAGGGAGCAGGTACAGACACATCCTGGCTTCATCACAAATGTTCCTTAAGGTATTTAAGGTATACAACAGGTGGAAAGCGTGGAACCCAACCACTAATAAACACCATCTGTGGACTGTGTAATTATGTGAAATAGAAAACTACATCTAGGGGCCGGCCAGATGGCGAATCGGTTAAGTGCGCACGTTTTGCGTCTCGGGGGGCCCAGGGTTCACTGGTTCTGATCTCGGGTGTGGACATGGCATTGCTTGGCAAAAGCCATGCTGTGGTAGGCATCCCACGTATAAAGTAGAGGAAGATGGGCACGGATGTTAGCTCAGGGCCAGTCTTCCTCAGCAAAAAGAGGAGGATTGGCAAATGTTAGCTCAGGGCTAGTCTTCCTCAAAAAAACCCCCAAAAAACTATGTCTATGTGTGAAATTCAGGCATATTCTTTTCTATATTGATAGTAACTACTATTTATTGGGTGCTTAAGATAATCTGGCAGAATGTTATGTTTTACATGCACCATCTCATTTAATCCCTATGATAAATCTGGGATACTCACTATTATGATCTCCATTTTATTGTTGGAGCAACCAGTGTTTGCAAAGGTAAAACACTTGCTCAAGGTCCACATGGCTGGCAGGTGAGGCAGAGTTTGAACCCATAGCTGTCTGGCAATAGAGCAGAGACTCAACTTATTTGTGCTGTGTACAGCTGGAGAAGACTTTGGATCCCTTCTTAGAATGATGTTTTTAAATGAAAAAAAATGAAATAAACATCAAATTATATAGAAAAGCAATTGTGTTGAAATATAGGTATCAACTGTGGTAGGCAGCCTTGAAAGTGACCTTCAATGATCCTGCCTTGGTGTTTTCACCCTTGTGTAATTCCCTCCCCTTGGGTTTGGGCTGGACCTAGTGACTCACTGCTAATGAATAGACTATGGCAGAAATGACTGGATACCACTTCTGAGATTAGGTTATAAAAAGACTGTGGCTTCTTGAATGCTTTCTCTCACTCTTTCTTGGGTTGCTCGAACTGTAGAAAGCCAGTTGCCCTGTCCTTATGCAGCTCTGTGGAGATGCCTATGTGGCAAGGAGCTGAGGCCTGTCCATAACCTTGTGAGTGAGCTTGGAAGCAGATCTTTGCCCTTCCAGCCTCAAGAGCTGACACCTTGATTATAGCTTTGTGAGAGAACCTGATCCAGAACCACCTGGCTAAGCCTAACCCTAATACCTGACCACAGATGCTGTGAAATAAGTGTTTGTTGCTTTCAATGACTAGTTTTGGGGTAACTTGTTACCCCAAAATGCTCTTGCCCATGTTTTCCCCTCGCTCTCTGTGCCTCCTGACTGACCCCAGTGCTTCCCATTTGACCCCCTCCCCAGCCATGGTGTGACGTGCTTCCTTCTCTTGGGAATCTAAGAGTATAACTGTTGTGGACTGAATGTGTGTCCCCTAAAATTCATATGTTGAAGCCCTAACCCCCAGTGAGTCTGTATTTGGAGATGGGCCTCTAAGGAAGTAAGTAAGACTAGATGAGGTCATAAGAGTAGGGCCCTGATCTGATAGGACGAGTATCCTTAAAAGAAGAGACACCAGAGAACTGTCTTTCTTTTTCTCTCTCCCTGTGCACACACACCATGGAAAGGCCATGTAAGCACAGAGTGGGAAAGAAAATGACTGTTTATAGCCCACGGGGAGAGCTCTCACCAGATGCTAGCCTTGCTGGTACCTTGACCACAGACTTCCAGCCTCCAGAACAGTGACAAATAAATTTCTGTTGCTTAAGCCTCCTGGTCTGTGGTGTTGTGCTGTAGCAGCCTGAGCAGATGAATATATAACCAACTATCTTGTCAATGGCAACTGTCTCCTGATCTATGGGCCTTGCCATAACTGAATAATAATAAAACCCACGTTTTAAAACAACAGGCAATATCCACGTCCTAATAGACATTCAATCCATTTTGATTTTTGTTTGGACAACTGCAAGGGTTAAGAATGCTGCTTCACAAAAACATATTGTTGCAAATGAAGTGACAGCTTCCACATTTCATTTTACGAAGCAAACAAAGGCAACTTCTCAAAAGGAAGACCAGAATTATCCAAAACTTTTAAAGTACAACAACAAAAATAAGCATTTGGTTTAAGAGGATAATACCTGTAGCATTAATATTTTTGTGTTAATGCAGAACCTATACATACCTAGTGTTCTAAGTAGTTGTAATATTTAAAAGAATTTGTCCTGGTAGAACAGAAGATCAGCCTTGTGATTCCACTTAAAATATCAAAGGGAGTAATTGACTCACACTTTTGATTTTAGGTTGGATTCTTACTAAATTTCTTAAGAGCTTAAAATCACACATTTATAAATTTGAGTTATTATATTTGTATGCATTATTTAGATTCCCAGGAAAGTTTTGATATTAAATAAAATAATTATGTATTTATGAAGAAAATAAAATATATTAAATTTATAAATGTACTTTAAAAGATTTCAGGGAGTTTAATAACATTTGTAAGTGGCACAAAATAATATTTAAGGCCCTTCAAAGTGGTTCTTAAAATTTGCTATATTTATAAAAGAATTTAGAATAAGAATTCTAAGTCGAACTTAAAATCTTAAGGCAAACTAGGCTTTTAAATTGCAACTTTAGTAAATTAAATATTAAGTTTTAAAACTAAAGTAACCTCTGAATAATCTTTTCCTATGTACAAAAGCCAACCTCAAGGCATGAAAATACTCACAGTGACAATTCATATTTGAACTCTGTGACTCCTGGATAATGTGCACAGCAGGTCTTCTGGAATCAGAGGGACCAGGAGCAATGGGTTTAAATTGCACTTGAAGGTCGAAAAAAAATGCAGCATCCTTCTCATCTGTAACTCTTCTCTTCTTGTTCTGAAAGTTCCGTTTCCTCGGATGGGAAGGTTCAGTGGTGGAGTGACATCACCGGACATAACCTTTCCAGTTAAAGATAACCAGAGACAACTTTTGGGCTAACCCAATCTCTTTTGGGTAAGTGCTCAGTCTCTTAGGCCTTTTTGTCCCTCCCCCTTCAGTACCAAGATGGCATCTAGGGAGGGGAAAGTTTATGCATCCACATGGCATGGGAGGAGGGGTGACTGGTCCACAGAGAGTTTTGTTTTGCCTGGTGCCTCCTTACTGAGTGAGCTCTGGTTACAGTGCCTTGTCCCACTTAGACCAGAACACTGGTCTCTGCTTGTACTGAATCCTCTTGGCCTCCAGTGGCATTTTGGCATTGATTCGGGGCTCTGGAGGTCCACCAGGCCCCTCACACTCTTCCTGACTCATCCAAGGCACACAGGAGGCACCATACAAAAGGTCACCTCCCGTTCTCAGGGAGACTTTCCAGGCCCTGCCTCTGAACGCCTCTCTCCGTCCTGCCTGTCTTCTACTCCAGACCTTTCCCTTACGATTAAGTTCTTGTCTCCTTGGACTGCATCCTTTGTGTCGGACTGAAAGCTGCCTTACAGTGGGTGGGCCTTAAGCCTTCCTTTGCTCCCACCCTGTAGTCCTGGGCCAACGCTTCTCTTGCAAGTGGAGTCTTGTACTCCTGGCCTGGATCTGTAGCAGGCCTCCATTTCTTAAGGAGTTGAAGCAAAATATATCAAATCTGGAATGACTTGGATTGCTTAAGAATTCACAAAATACCATATGAAAAAGATGTGATAAGAATTGTTAGGAACATAAAATTGTAGGATAGTAATTATTCTAAAATAAAAACGCTAAATTCCTTCCTGATGAAAATTTTTTTCTAATAAACACTTAAATTTGGAATAACTTGGCAGAAAACTTTAGCTATAGATCAGAGCCACTATTAGCCAAATGATGCCCTTCTGAAAATCAGAGAGGCCCCTTCTCTGAGGAGGAGTACAGCCCTAAGCAGGAATGACAACTTGGCAGAGGAAGTGGAGCACAGACTACATTCAGTCTGCACTCTGCCCTCAGTTGGCTGCCCTTGGGCAATAACCATCCCGCCTGATAGTACACAGTGACCGATAGCAATCATGTTTCAATGTAGAGTTTTATTAACTGTCTGACTTTGGGCAAATATGTCATCCCTGATGGCCCTAGATGTCTCATATAAGAAGAGAAGAGGCCTTACTGACCTCTAACGTCCCTTTTCTCTAAAAACACCATGCTCTGGGGGATCAGCAGTTTTTTTAAGTGGAAGTTTTCTCAGAAAGTAGAGGAAGTAAGTACCAAATTCTGTCCACGAGGAGGAACTGGTCAGAAAAGTGGAAGTGACATGAATCATGGAGTAAAAATGATCAAGTTGTTCCAGAGTTCATGACAGTCAGGGAGAGGTGAATGTGATTAGACATATCTCCTAGACTTCGGTAAGACAGCTCTAACAGTTTGTGATGAATGATAGATTCCCTGGATAGAGACCCTCAGAGAGAAGGTGACAAGTGTTTGGGAGAAGTAAGCTGAAATGAAATTCTAAGTCTTATAAGCAAGGATGATCTTGGATAGGAAGAAAAGGGAGAAGGATCTAAAGAGACAGACTTGGCAGCCTGGTAAATTCTCTAGCAAACTCAGGTATCACAGGACATGCATGGAAGATGGAAGAGGAGTGAATTTCAAGTGTGGCCCTGAAGTGAAAGGCAATTGTTAGGAAGCTCAATCCTTAGAATGATAGGATACTTGAGAAAAATCTTATAGGCAATAAAAAGGACTTAATCAAATTTATTGAGATGTAATTTACATATAATAAAATGAATACATTTAAGCGCACAGTTGGATGAACTTTGACAAACGTCTACACCTGTGAAGACGCAGAGCACTTTCAGCAACCTCAGAAGTTCCCTCGGGCCCCGTTGTGGTCATTCCTCCCCCAGCCTACCCCGTGGGTCCTCTGATCTGATTTCTATCACTATAGATTAGTTTTGCTGACTCAAGAACTGCGTATACTTAAAATCATCCAGTCTGTATGCCTCCCTTGATTGTCTCAGCATAATGTGAAAAGAACTAAGAGCAAAGAAAGAATAGAGTTTGCCACTTGTTCTATCTGTTTGCACTGTTTGACCAAGTCAATTGCAAGTGAACGTGGACACGTTTTGCCAGGAGTGTCTCCTAAAAAGCCTGAAAGAAACCTCACATCGTATTCCCTGCCCTGAGTGCAAGGACACATACAGTTGAGAAATCCAAGCTATAACCTGCACTGGGGATGATGGCTAAGGTAGCAAAGGATCTGGGACCTCACTTAAAAGATTTCAAAGATTGCCACTGTGAGATTCGGCAAGAACCACTGCTTATTGCCCTGTGTGGTGGAGCAGGGGCCCCCTGGTGACACCTGGCTCTGACAAGCTTCACTTAAGATTTGCCATTGAGAAAGTCACTCCCATTTTCTTAACTTTCTCAAGTCTGTTTTGAGATCACAAGACGTGGAGTCGTTATCCTACTGCATCCCCTGATTTCAAGAATGTGGCTAATTAAGATGTCAATCAAGACACGGTGAACCATCTTGAGATATTTGAATATCCTGCTGTCTTGGGAACCCAGACCTACCTCTGAACTAATTACTGGGAGGGGATTGTGAAAGAGAATAATGATTGGGAAATAGGAATCTCCAAGGCATCCTTGGGTAGAAAGAATTTCTTCTCTGATAAGTACTTATATGTACATAAGTGCGTTTGGTATGGATAATACTATTTTTTCTGTAACCCCAGTTATTTAGTATTAGTTTCTTGTAAGAAGTTTCTTAGAAACAAGGTGGGGATTTTACTAGATTATGACTTGAGTATTGTCTTATTTTATGATGTTATGAAAGACTGTCCCCTGCTTTTTCTGTCAGTTTTGCCATTAAGACAGCTATGTCCTTTCCTTGTTCCCACAATAAAGATGTGGAGGAGTGACCATCTAAAATTAAGCTATTTGCAGACAATTTTTCTTGGGAATGTAACACTCACAGAGTTACTTCTTCTTCTTTAAGTTTTAGGAGAATAAAATATAGAGAAGTATGATGAAACAAATCCCATGCAAACGATTAAATCTTAGGAAATGTAGATTTTGGTCTTAGGTAGCTTGAAATAGCAGAAACTATCTATCTTATCTTTACACAAACATGCATCATTCAATAATGGGAATACGTTCTGAGAAATGCATCGTTAGGTGATTTCCTTGTTGTGAGAACGTTATAGTGTGCACTTACACAAACCTAGATGGTACAGCCTACTGCATACCTAGGCTACATGGTACTAAGCTTATGGGACCACCGTTGTATGTGTGGTCCATTGTTGACAGAGACATTGTTATGCGGCACATGACTGTAATCTATGCTTGAAATGTATTCTAAAATGCTTAAAATCATAAGGAGGACTGTTTCCAAAAAGATACATTCAGGGCCGAGTGGTTAAATTCTGCACGCTCCACTTTGACAGCCCAGGTTCATGGGTTCCAAGCCTGGGTGCAGACCTACTCCACTCACCAGCCATGCTGTGGAGGTGTCCCACATACAAAAAAAGAGAAATAGAAGAGGATTGGCACAGATGTTACCTCTTGGCTAATCTTCCTCAAGCAAAAAAAAGGAGGATTGGCAGCAGATGTTAGCTCAGGGTGAATCTTCCTCAAAAAAAAAAAACAAAACAATTTTGATGTTTGGTGTCCACATAGCAACCCTGCAGGGACCATCTCCAGAATGAGGGGTGAAATAGGGCGTTAGTCACCAAGACACTCAGCAGATAAGCTCTAGGAGGGAATTTAAAACCAGCTCTCAGAACTTGGGCTCAGAGGTACCCAAGTGGGGCCTCCTGTTACAAAGGACAACTGCAGTCTCAGAACAAAGTTCCCCCAAGTCGGATTCTTTTCTTTGTTTCTTTCTTTCTTCCTTTCTTTCTTTCTTCCTTCCTTCCTCCCTCCCTCCCCCCTCCCTCCCTCCTTCCTTCCTTTGTTTTCTTCCCTTTTCTCTCTCTCCCCTTCCTTCCTTCGTTCCTTCCTTCCTTCCTTTCTTTCTCTCTCTCTCTCTTTCTTTCTTTCTCTCTCTCTCTGTCTCTCTCTCCCTCCCTCTCTCCCTCCCTTCCTTCCTTCCTTTCTTTCTTTCTTCCTTTCTCTCTCTCTCTCTCTCCTTCCTTCCTTCTTTCTTTCTTTCTTTTTTCTAATGAGGGAGATTCGCTCTTTTGGTGAGGTAGATCCACGCTTGGGATATGAATCTGAATCTGCAAACCCCGGGCCGCCTGAGTGGAATGCGTGAACTTAACCACTAGGCCACTGGGCCTGCCCCAAGATTCATTTCTTTAGCCGTTACTCAGAATGTGGAAGCCAGGGTAGGTGACAGTGATGAACTATACATAATTTGCAAAGAGTAGGTACAACGGGACAAGAGTAGTGGGGCAAAGTTTTATGGTTTCAAAAGGCTCTTAACATCCTTTCTGTTTTGAATTCATCATCATCACTCAGGTGAATTATCTCCAGATCAAGTTACTATACCAGCCAGTCTGCAACGGCACAAGCTGGAGAAGATTTAAATCCACTAAGAAGTTCTCTGGAGAAGAGTGGTCAATTTGTTTAAAAGAAATACTTCGAAAAGCCAGTGAGGGTGAAGAGTAACACCCAAGGTCAGCCTCAAGCAACAGTCAAGATGGTTGTAAAATTATTGCCCGTCAATGAGGAGAAGTTATGTTGCTCCTAAGAGGCAAAACGGAGGAAAGGAGGGGAAGAGAGAGTGAGATAAGAAGAGAGGCACGCGAGCTGTGCAGTGCAGGCCCGCCCGCCCTGAATATTTGCGGGTTGGGCAGATGTGTGGTCTGCTCTGACCAGCTGAGGAGAGCCGTTTGTGCAACTCCATCGGTGACATCATGTTGATAGCTCGAAATAACCTATAGCGGAAGTATTTATACCACAGAAATTGGCAAACATTACAAATCAGGGCTCACCAACCCCACCCTCCCTCTGAGAAACTGCTTCTGAGAACACACCTCTGGGTCTAGGGCAAGACTATAAATAGAAGCCAACATAGCATATGTCTAAATATTTAAAAGTTATAGGTCAAGGTAACAAACTATTAAATAAAATACCTTCTACCCTCCTACTTTGACAAGTATACTCTTAGAAGGACCTGGAAGGGTAGGTTCAAATTTAGCATTCTCAGACCCCGGGAGATTTCCTAACAGAATATGGGGGCAGCTGGCTGCCCCTCCCTGGCTGCAGGCAGTTCCTCTTCTATTTCTGCCCGGTGCCCATCCCACACTGCAAAGGCCCTTGTGTGCACACGTGTGGGCCACCTAAGCTGCATATCTAAGCTCTGTACACACTCTCTCCATAAAACATGTGTCCCTTTGGCACCTTTGGGGACTATGGGTGTGTATTCCACCTGGGCAGTCTGCCCTTAGGAGGACCCAACCGGGAAAGAGGCTGCACAAGCCGTGGGGTAGGCTCAGGATAGGCCCAGTTTGGGCAGATAATTCTGGGGTCTGAGGCACCCTGAGCATGGAATAGAAAGGAGTGGGGCAGGAGCCAGGCGGGCATGTCTCCTCGGCCCCACAGACTCCTTGCTCCGGAGGGAGGGTGTAGTCAGAGGAGTGTCCAAATAAGGCTCTAAAGCAGAGAGCCTAGCACAGGCGCTCTTCCTGCCGGGTCTGAGGATGGCGTGGTGCTGGGTGTTGCACAATGGACCCCTCTCTAAGGATCCTCCAAATTCTGAGTCAATTCTACAATAATTATTGAATGCCCGGGTTACTAGGGTTTTTTTCTCCTAGAAACTGGGAAAGGAAGGAGTTCCGAGTTCTTGCTGGATACAGAATGAAATAGAGGCCGTATATCTGGACACAATGAGCATGAGGAGCTAGAGTTTCCAGCTGACATTTGGCTTCCAGGTTTTGAGTCGAAAAAATTAATGCCTCCATCTGTGCTTCCATTCGCGCTGTCCCAGGGACCTCAGTCCACCAACCACCTTCTCTCCCATGTCTTCCACCCTAATTCTCTGACGGATCCTTCCCATCAGTATTTACATATGCTCAAAATTCTCATTCGAACTCAACAAAAAATAAAAACTGCCTTAGATTGGTCTTCCACTGTCAACTCTTGTCCTATTTCTTTCCTCACATACAGAGCCACAATCCTTGAAAAGTTGCCTCTATTTCTTTCCTTAACTCTTACCTTGAATCCACTGCAGCCTGGTTCTTGCTACCACCACACCATCAAAATTCAGAGGACACTTTTCAGCCCTGACTTTTTTTGACCTCTCTGGCATCTGGAACCATTAACTGCTCTCTCATTCCTGATATGTCCCCTCTTTGGCTTCCAGGAAATCATTGTTCTGGTTACTTTCTAAACCCCACCACCCCTCCATCTCCTTTGCAGCCTCCTCTTCTCCCCCATCCACTAAATGCCTGCTTTCTTTAGGGCTCTGTCCTAGCCCCTCTGATCGTCTCACTCCATACCCTCTCCTAGGGTGATCTCCATATGTAGATGATTCCCAAACCTTTCTCTCTTCTGGTTTTGAAGCCTGAATATTCTACTGTGGATCCACCTGGAAATCTTGCAGTCACCTTAAACTCAACATATGCCAAACTGAACTCACCCTCTTTCTCCTTTGCTTAGAAAATGCCATCCTGTCGCCTAGCTGCCCAAGTCACATACCTGAGTTGTTCTTGGTGTCTCCCTCTCTCTCACTGAGCTCAGACAGGGCATGTTGCAAACTGACCTAGGTCTAGTTGGCTGTTAACAACTGTTAGATTCTTACTGGGAGAGGTTGAAGGTCTCTAGTAGTTAGAGGACTTCACCTTGTTGCACCTCAAATTCCCTAAAAGTTGGCATGCTACTCTAGTGTCAAGCCTCAGACTAAATTGTGCTCCACTTGCCATTATTGGCAAGCAGGCACCCTGTTCTATAAGCTCAGCTCAACCCATTAGGTACTATATTAGTTGAGGTAAAGCAAAGCTGACGTCACAAAGAAACCCAACAATACTATAGCAGTTTAAAGCAACAGTCTGAGGTGAGCATTTCAAGTCAGCTGGTTGCTCTGCTCCATGCAATCATTCAAGGACTCAGGTTCCTTCTGTTATGATGCTCCTCTATCTCCAAGCCTTTTGTTGTCTGCATGGCCAAGGTCCTAGTCATCCAAATGGCAAGAAAGGAAAGAGAGTATGGATGAGGCATACGCATGATCTTAAGATTTAGGCCCAGAAATCTAGGCACACATTCTTTTACTCCAATTCATCAGACGAAACATAGCCATGTGACCACAACTATCTCTTAGGTAGGCTGTAAGTGTTGTGCAGCTGTCTCCACCACTGGCACATAACCAAATATGTTGCTTGAAAAGGGAAATCAAGGCAGATGCAATAATATTCTAGAGGCAAGTCCAGCTCACTTACTAGTCAAAACAGGTAGCAGAATATTCAGGTCCAGACCAGAGCCGGAGCCAAGAAGACCACTCTGAAAGATGTAGGCTTCTGGGCTCATAAATTCATGTGTTCCTGTACACATGAGGGCAGGGGTGCCTCTACAGTATTGCTAGCTAACATACACGTCTTAAACACCACTCGTTTTGCCAATTGGAAATTATTTCTATCATTTCTTAAGCTTATTAACAATTAACATGTTAAGATAGCAATAGTTGAACTGCTTGTAATAGGCCCTCGGGAATGTGGAGATTTGATAAAGGCATTTCAAATATACCCCGGAGAGTAAATTCCTGATTAGGGGACTTCAAATGCTGGATACTATCTCTAGAGTAAAACTAACAAACACACACATATCACACTGTCCACATTCCTCATACATATTGAAAACATTTACACACACAGAGGAAATACGGAAGACTAGGTATCAGAATAGAGATGGTAATATCAGATAGGGTTCCTTCTGTCCAGTTCCCAACATACAAATATTCCCAGAGATATTCTGTAGTTCAGGATCTTATGGAGAAGACAAAGGGATTTAAGAATCATTGAATCCATTCTGCACTTTACACAATTCTAAAGGTCCTGATGTCAGTTTCCAGTTCCTTCTCTCTAAGGAACTGGCCATAACGGTTAACCTCTGTGGCCAGGGGAGTATTTCCAGGACGGCCTGCATCCTCTTTTCTGTGTTCCACGCTGCTCTCATCCCAGAACTTTTGGGGACGTTCACTTCCTGTTTCTGAGTCTATTAGAAATGAAAACGGTTCTTCTTTTTTGCTTCAGCCTTGGCTCAAAATATAGCCTTCAAGTCCTTCTCCATTCCTTTGCGTGTGATTGCATCATTGTCTGTGAGGGGACAATGTGACTGACGGTTACAGCAAGGACTCTGGAGCCTGGTCCTGGGGAGCTCAGTGCCAGCATCACTACTTACCACCCGTGTCACCTTATACCCCTGACCCAACCTCCCTCTGCCTCCATTTCCTACCAGAAAAATGAGTTAATAGGTGCCAAGAGCTGAGAACAGTACCTGGCACACAGTAGTACTATATGGATGTTGGCTATTATCATTAGTTTCTCCCAACAGACCTGTAGATT